TCTAGTATAGATGATATCTAACAGTGATTAAAATCACTATCATAAAAAACGCTTCGATGCAAATCTTTAGATAGTGTTTAATTTTAAAAAATTGGTGGATTATTCCAAAAGCTACATGATCTGCTAGTTCCTTAATTATATCCTGATTGTACGTTTTTTGAAGTTAAGTAAGGGTGAACATTTTTTTTTTATTACTAAAAATTACAATTAAAGAGCTGCCGTACACAATAAATTTTGAAGATATTGTTTTATAATTTTGAAATATGAATAAAATTGAGCTTGGGTTGCCTACTATATATGAGTGGCAGTATATAAAATTAATTTTTTAAGAATTTAAATTTAAACTAGTACAAAACTGCGAGTCTATATTTTTAGTGTCATAGTATTTATTTAAGACTTATCATGTTCATAGGTTTCCTAATAAATATAAATTATTTTTTAGTTTTTTTTTATACATTGAATAGGTAAAATATTTCTATATAAAAAATTGAAGATTAATTAATATGTTGATTATAAATTAGGTATACTAGTGTAAATAAAATTAAAATTTTGATATGTGCCTTATCTATATTAAGTCAGATAAGGTTTCACACTTTTTATAAAAAATGTAGTTAGTAAAAAAAATTTTTTCAATTCAGTTAAAAAAAATATAGTTTAAAACACTGAAAAACACGCTTTTAAAGCATATCGAACTAAAAAGTTAAACAATAATGAATGAAAAATACTAGTATTATTATGAAAAAAAGCGTCGGGCACTCAATATACGAAAAATATGGCACAAAGCCACAACGCTTTTTTTCACAATAATACTAGTATTTATTGTTCATTATTGTTTTAAGCTTATTTTAAAAATTATTTTTAACTTTTTAGTTTTTTATGACATTGCTGTCACAGTCACGGATAATTATTGTCAATTATCACTATCAATAGATATAATTTCTGTATAGCCAGTTAGTGTGTTTATAAACTCAAAACAGTGTGTCTTACTACCAATGATAATAAAGGCTATATACCTGCGAATATCGCCATGAAAAACCAATTTGATACTTTGTGATCCCTTATGTATTATACATGTATATTGACTCAAAAAAATTTGAATCTTCAAACGTTTATATCTAATAATAAACAATAAAAATTTGTTTATATATATAATATTGATGATACGCACGTATGTACAGGTACGAAAACCAAAAGTAAAATTATACAGGAATAGTGTGGTTATTGAGTGATTAGCGGGATGTGGTGAATGCATTACGATTGTCTAGTCTCAAGGCCATTGACGACGGGAAATGCGAGAATAATAACACGTGGCGCGTGGAGAGTTACAAACATACAAACATACATACACATGAAACTAATATAACGTGTTAAAAATATAATTTAAAAGCGTGTTTTTTTAAACTATATTTATTTTTCACTTTTTAGTTTCATGTTATGATAGGAGTTACTATAAATATCATGGTTGTAATGGGTAACGGAAAATCAGAGTTCGATTCCGGAGAGTGAGTGAGGAACAGCTACCATATCCAAGGAAAGCAGCAGGCTCGCAAATTACTCACTCCCGGAATGTGGAGGTAGTGACGAATAATAACGATACTAAAATCATCCCTCGTAATCGAAATGAATATTTTATATCTCTTAATTAGAATAAAGCGTGTTAATATATAAATTTTAATAGTAATTAGAATATATACAGGGTGGCCCACCACTCACTGACAACTTAAATAACTTTTGATCCAGTTAATATTTTTAGTTGATTTTTTTTTTAAATAATAGTTAGACGTTAGGTCTATAGCTATATCTCAATAATTAATTTTTTTACATTTTATTAAAAATATTAATTATTTTAAAATTTTAAATAAAAAGTAAAAAAAAAATCCAAGATAGCTATTTTGTAGAGTAGAATTTAAGAAAAATTTTAGTAAAAAAATATTTTATTAATATTCAGTAGTAAATATTCTGTAGCGTTTTGAAGTTTGTAAAAATTTGAATTTTCATGTACTATTTTACGGTTATAAACATTGAAATACGTATTGAGAAAAGGACAGAAGAAAACGCTATCTTTTCATGATTACTGTGTACACATATGATGATAGTGTGTATACATTACAAACTTGGCATAAATACCATGATAAGAAATTAGATAAGGCAATTATTACTTATCACTCTCATTCAAAAGTATATTGACTAACTTAACGCTTAAATATTAAGTTTTGAAATATTCACTCTGAGATTTAGAATTTCATTATAATATATTTTTACATCAACAATTATAAAATTACAAATATTCTATTAACTATTTAATATTATCTTTATGAACTTGATTGTTTGAGGAATAAAAATAAAAGAAACAATATCGTCTTACTTAATTATTGTATAGATTTACGCACTTTCTATCAATAAGTAGACAAACTTATTTTTCTCAGTATTTAATTAAAACAATGAACGATTATACTACGATAATTATATGTGTCGTTAAATCGCACAATCGAAATATTTCTGTACTAACCAGTGCTCGAATTGGCCAAAAATTAGTAGGGGAGCTCAACTTAACAATTTGAAAACTGCGTCCTTAGCATTTTGAAGACCTTTTTTTTTTTTTTTTACTCATGACTTTATTTAGTATTTACTAATAAAATATATTTCATTATCATACTAATATTAAAAAAAAAAAAAGAGGTGGTATTTTCCACCGTCCACCCGTCAAAATAAAAAACACGTATAATTTAAATTTTTTAATTTACTACACATAATAGTACAACATATATACATTAATTTATAATCTACAAGCCTAGACTTAAATGTGAGTTAGTACAAATTTTACTTCCACCAATGTTGTAAACAATGAGCTCTATATGAATAAGTGTTTTTAAAGAGAAAAAATATTAATTTCAAAGAACTACAATAATATGTAGTAAAATCTTTTAGCTTCGATGCGAAGCTGAGGAGGTATTGGTTTTACTAAGATGTGTTTTTTTTTTTTTTTTTTT